CAAGGTCAGAGAGGGGGCAAACCCCTGCCAGAGCAGCGCCCAGCAGGCCCAGGGAAGCTCAGGCTGCCTGGACAGGACAGGGCTGCACCAGCAAGTCAGAGAACCACACCGTGGTCACTAGGTCATGGCCATAGTGCTTCAGTCACTGAGAGCATTAAGAAAGCTGTCTCGGGGCTGGCCTGGTGGCACAGCGGTTAAGTGCGCATGTTCCACTTCTTGGCGCCCCGGGTTTCACCGGTTTGGATCCCGGGTGCGGGCATGGCACTGCTTGGCACGCCATGCTGTGGTAGGTGTCCCACATGTAAAGTAGAGGAGGATGGTCACGGGTATTAGCTCAGGGCCAGGCTTCCTCAGTAAAAAGAGGAGGACTGGCAGTAGTTAGCTCAGGGCTAATCTTCCTTAAAAAAAAGGAAAGAAAAGCTGTCTCCTGAGGTAGGAGGCCAAGTTCCAGTACCAGGACTAGCACCACCTGGCTTCAGGTTCCCTGTTCTTGAAGGAAGGTTGAGGCTCAACCATCTTTATGACTCTTTCAGCTCTGATCCTGAATCGGTTGCTGAGGGAAGTGGATGCCAGCAAGAAGGCTCCTTGGCTGCTCCTGCCTGCTGAGCTCTGGGCTCCCTGCTCTGCCTCAGCCCCACCCCAGACCCCCAGAAGGGCCCACACTCACTCTTCTTGCAGGAGGTGCATCTGCACTCTTTGCACTTGCAGGAGCCGGCACAGGTGCAGGAGCCACCTGCCAGGAAGGAAAGCCAGGCAGGGAGTCAGGAGACTGATGCAGACACAGCAGGGGGTCCACACATGCTTCCTGCTCAAGGCACGGGCCAGAAGGGGAGCTCCTGTCCCACTCAGGGCAGCTGGAAGTCTCACCCACCATCTCTCCGCACGGGCCAGGATGGCCAGATGCTCTCCTGTGTTGACCCCCCCAGGGCCTCATGGCTGAGCCCAGCAGAGGCCATGTCCTCTGCCTCCAACCAGCACAGGCAACTCAGAGGCCTGCACAGAGCACTTGGGCCTGGCCCAGAAACCCTGACCACTTGTGAGATGTGGAGCAGGACAGTCTTGAGCCTCAGGCCTCTCCCCTCCCAGAGGGAAGCTCCTAGGAGGACCGGAAATGCTCTAAAGGGCGATTCAGGCGCCAGGCCAGGGTGAAAGCACAAGACACAAAAACTGAAGGAGAAAGGGGCATCCTGAGGCCCAAGCTAGTGACAAAGATTCACTTGGGCTGCTGGAAGGCGTGGTGACGCCTAGGAGCCCGTCTGCTCCCTTTCCAGCCAGAGGCAGCGGCCCGGGCGCAAAGACCCCGCCCCGTCCTTGCTCCCCGCCCCCGGTCGACCGCGCGGTCTCAGCGTCCTCCGCTGGGCTGTGCGCACCGGGCCGGGTGCAGAATTCTTCGAGCGCGGTGGGGCCGGGTGCGCAGCGCGGGGACCGGTTCTGGCGCCCATTTGCTCAGAGGGGCTTGTTTGCCGGGCTTGTTGCCGGGCGGCACCTGGTGTCTCAGCCTCCTTTCCTAATTTTCCCGAGGAGGCAACCACACCCGCCCCCAAGTGTTCCTGGAACTCTGACCCTCAGTCCTCGCTGTCTTCCCCACCTCTGCCCGCCCCGCCACTGTCCTCAGCGTCGCCCTTTTCCCGGAGCCCCTGTGCAACCGCAGCCTGGCACCTGGGTCCCTGGCTCGACTGGAGCCATGCGGGAGTTGTGTGCAGAGACCGGTAGTGGATGTGACCTCCAGCTGCCCCCCACGGCCACCCACACCAGCGCGCTCCAGGCATTACCTGCCCTGGTCCCCACTATGGTCCTTAGTCTGCATTTCTCCTGGTTACAGCAACGAGGCCAACACAGGCCTGTGCCTCCCTCCCTTCCCTTGGTTCTCCACAGCTGAAGGGCTGAATGGGCACATCTGTCCAGGGGCCTCTCTGCCTAAACTCTCCAGGGGCTCCCCTCAGCCTAGCCGGTGCACCCTGCTCCAGGATGAGGGCCCTAAGCATGCAATGCCCCAGGGAAGGGATCATTTTAGGTGGTAGGCTGACCTGGCATTCAAGAACCAAACCAGAAAGTGAGTGTTACCCTCTCTGTCTTTCTGATAGCGCCCTCAGGTTGAGACTGTGCCAACCCTTGTGTCACCACTTTCCCCATTTGAACCTTAAGAACAGCCCTAAAGGGAAATACTATTTAGGAGCCTGTTTCCTAAATGCAAAACTGCATACGGCACAGACCCAGGGCCACAGTGCTGGGCAGTGGCGCCCTCGATCTGATTAGTCAATTCCCAAGGGGAAGAGACAGTCCGTGAGGAAGCTTCTCTCTGGCCCAGAGGAGGTTCTGCGGCACGCCCCGGCATTCAAGCTCAATCCTGGGAGGGACAGAGGTGACGAAAGGAATTTGTATGTGATTTTGTGGCTCCCTTCCATGTCGGGAAGTCAACGGATTCTCATTTTCAGTGATGCTAAAAACTTTGCTTTTCATATAAATATATTTAAGTAAACAGGAATTGTTTAAAAGAAAATGTTAAGCAAAATCCTGGTGCAAGTGACAGCAGAGATGGCAGGCATCTTCCTGTATCTGTTTTGAGGACATAGATTGCCTTGCTCATGGCTGTCTGTCCCTACTGCCCTTCCCTCCATTGTGGGAAGAGAGGATAACCCTCTCTGGGAAACAGGTCACCTGCTCCCGCAGTCGATGAGGACAACACAGGACACACAGCCAAGACACTAGGACTGGTTTATTTGTGTGGAAGGAGCAAAATGTCTCCTATACTAGATATGATAATAAACTAAGACCTAATATGATACATGACTCCCTGTGTCCCAGGCGTCATGCTAAGTTCTTTGCATGTATTCAATCATTTCATCCTATGGGCCAGATGCTATTATTTCGCCCTTTTTAGAGGGGAGGAGACTGAGCCACGGAAAGATTATGTCTCGGGGCTCTAAGTGACACAGGTGGGGTTGGCCCTCACGCAGGCAGACTGCAGGATCATGCCCTCCCCACCCCCCATGACTCCACATGAAAGATGAGCTCTCTCAACACCAGGCCCAGAGGCAGCGGTGGGATGGGCACTGAGCTGGCAGTGGGATCCCCATGCAGAGCTCTGTGACCTCTCTGGGCTTCAGGTTCCCATCTCGCAACCAAGGGCAAAGGGAGTCCATCTCCAAGATCCTTCCAGCTTTGGACTGTGATGGGCGCCATGTAGCATCCAGTGACATTGTGATCTGCCTGCTGTGGCCAGGGGTGAGGTCAGCTGTAGCATAGCATCCTTCATCCTGTTATTTTCCAGCTGGGTGACCTTGGGTAGGTTGCTTTCCTTCTCTGGAAGATGGCACAATCACTCCAGCCTCTTCCTGTTTGCTGTCTCAGTCTCTGGGTTGTGTGAAAACCATAAGACCTGAAGGCTGGAAAGGCTTTTGCGTCTGTCCAAATGCCTTGGCAGCGTCTTATCCTAGCAGGCTTATTTTAGGTCATCCACACTCTCCCTGCCACAAAGTCAGTAAATTTTGAATCCCACCCTTAACCTCCACCCAGAGTCATGCTTCCAACCAATGAGCCTTTCCCCAAGACGCTGTTGGGATTCAACAGGATTCCGTCTCCAGGAAAGTCCCTGTGAACAGGTGATCCTAAGGACCCCGTGTCTGAAGCCCTAGCAAGGAGCCAGGATGCTGTCTCCTTTAATTCCTCACTGTGACATGTAAGTCCTCTTTAAATTTGAGGAAACGGAGGCTCAGAGAGGTAAAGCTGCTTACCCAGGTGGCATGGCCAGGAAGTAGCCTGGTGGGCTGTGAACCAGGTACGCCTGACACCAACACCCACTGACTCGGCACAGGGCACCTGTGGGCAAGCGTGTGCCTGCCTTCCAGGCCACTGGACTCATCCTTCTCTTTGGTGGAACATCAAATAGCAATTCCCTGCACAGATAGCCAGGGGGGCTAACCACTGGAGGGAATTAGGAGTCTCTCAGCCCCTCACTCCTACCTAATAAAGGCCACGATGCCCACAAGCTGTAGAATCCACCACCCTACCCCCTGCAGGGGCGGACAGGAAGTACTTCACCTGGAACCAGTTCTCGGGTCCATTGTTAGCGAGAAATGCCTGGGCACTTCACTCCAAAGCACCGGTCTCTTTGCAGGTTTCAAGGAGCCGAGGCTGGATTTGGAAGGAGGGACTTCCAAAGATTCAGAGCCACCACAGGAGCTCTCAGGGGATCAGGTGTCCCGTCAGTGGCCCTGGGCAGGGAAGAGGGAGGGTTCCCTGTGGGGATGTCAGGGGCCATGCCATGCACAGTGTGCTGCGTAGCCCACACACAGGGATGTTTGTGAATTATTCCAGTGTTCAAATCACACCTTCCGTGAATAAGTTGCAGCGTTTTTTTGTTTTGTTTTATTGAGGTAACACTTGTTTATAACATTATATAAATTTGGTGTTGAGCAGCATTTCTAAATCTCTGGTTTTATTCTTTGTTCTTCAGTTATTGAAATGATAAGTGTTCACTTTAAAAGTGGGATTTGTATATTGTGTCCTCTTAAAGTTTTTCTTAGGAAGTCATTTTATTTGACCAAAGTTTACATCTCTGTTAGAAAATAAACAGGTCCTTTAACTCAGTGGTTTACCAGCAAGTCCCAAGTAGAAGTCACACGGCGGGGAATGAAGTCCGCCCTCACTGTACTTTGGAGACCTAACATCACCCAGGACTGAGGTTTGGCAGCAGATCCCCAGACAATGAAAATGAGACACTGAGAACTTTCTGCGCCGTCAAGACTTACAGTAAGAATAGAGGGGAACCTGTGTCTCGCCCGTTCCCTTCTGTCACGTGGATGATGTTTCCATTTTTCGCCGAGGAAGTGAAGCTCAGAGAGGGATCCTAACTTGCTTCAGGCACTCGGTTTGTTAGGGGCTAGTCTTTGGGACCAGAACCCAGGTCTCTGCAGTTTCCCACCCTAATTCCCCATCCCAGCCATGGTGGCCACAAAGTCCCTTATTTCCAAGGCACATAAAGGAAAAAGGAGCCAGAATAGAGACAACAACTTTTATTCAAATTCACAGATTTCATAGAAACAGGAAGGTTGTAAAAGGTTAGGGTTGTATCAAGAAATGTTTAAAGCAGTAGGGTTGTATGTGTTAGTAGGTGTATGTGTGTGTATGTGTTGCTCTGTTTCCTTCGGGAACAGGCTCTCCCCGACATCAGGCGCAGCAGCTGCACTTGTCCAATGCCCCTTTGCAGACGCAGCCCTGGGCACACCTGGCACAGCCCCCGGGGCAGCAGGAGCAGCAGCCTGGGGAACAGAGGGCAGAGGGAGAAGTCAGAGCAGATGTTACCAGAACCTCCGTTCCCAACAGCAGGCCTGGCACCAGCTCTGCCCTGGGCCTCGGGGGACCCTGAGGTTAGGATGGCATGCTCTGTCCCAAGACAATTGGTAGAAACTTTGAGTAAGGTTCTACCCACTAGGAAAAGGGTGCCCTGCACCATCTGAGTCCAGAATAGGCCAGAATGCCTGGAGAGAAACTCGGCATCAGGAGGCTCAGTGGGGGAGGCCAGCTCCCCACTCCTAAGAATCCTAAAATGAAGTGCGGAAAGTCTTCAAGATCAGAGAGGGGCAAACCCCTGCTAGAGTAGTGCCCAGGAGGGCCAGGGAAACCTAGGCTGCCTGGACAGGACAGGGCTGCACCACCAGGTCAGAGAAACCACACGTGGTCACCAAGTTCAGGGGAATAAAGTGCTCAGAAAACTGGAAGGTTCCAAAGGCTGCATCAGGAGACAGGAGACCTAGGCTCTTGTCTGGCTCCATCCTTGAGACTATTTGGTGACCTCTCTGGGCTCAGTTTCCCCATTCCAGAATGAGAGGTTGGGACTCAACCATCTGTAGGGCTCCTGAGCTCTGATTCTGACTCAGGTGCTGAGGGCAGGGGTGTAGGGAAGAAGAGTTATTGGCCTGCTCCTGCCTGCTGAGCTCTGGGCTCCCTGCTCTGCCTCAGCCCCACCCCAGACCCCCAGAAGGGCCCACACTCACTCTTCTTGCAGGAGGTGCATCTGCACTCTTTGCACTTGCAGGAGCCGGCACAGGTGCAGGAGCCACCTGCCAGGAAGGAAAGCCAGGCAGGGAGTCAGGAGCTGATGCAGACACAGCAGTTGGTCCCCAAACCCTCTGTGCGCCCTCCTCTGTCAAGCCCAGCCCTAGGAGCTGCTGTCCCACTGCGGGCACATAGAGAGAAGCCCCCCATCTCTTCCTCTGCTGGGAAAGGTAGGTCCCCCCCTGATGTTGCTCCACAAGGAGGGTCCCAGGCTCCAGAGCCACCCCGAGAGACTGCGGCCACGGCCTTAGGTCCTGCACCCCGAAGAGGCAATGTCCCCAGCTCCCACCAAGTCCTGGCAGCTCTGAGGCCTGGACACAGCACTGGGTCCCAGTCCAGCAGATCCCTGAGCTCGAGATGCACAGCCTGGAGCCTCAGTACCCTCAACTCGAGACAGAGGCCCAGGAGCCTGGAAACTCTCTCAGGAGCTTGGCCAGGTGAAAGCACTGCACGTGCTAAGTGAAGGAGGCCACCTCAGCTCAGACTCCCTTCTCCACCCCAGGATGTCTGTCCTGCACCCGGGAAAGGTGCATCCTAAGGCTCAGAGCCCGGCGTCCCTACCTGTGGGGCAGGAGCAGTTGGGGTCCATTTCAAGCTGACGTGAGGCCGGAGGTACCAAGCTAGCAACGACGACGCACTGGAGTTAGTTGTAGGCGTGGTGGAGCCCAGGAGCACCTGTGCTCACTTTATAGGCAGAGCAGGAGGCCCGGGCGCAAAGGCCCCGCCCCGTCCTTGCTCCCCGCCCCTTGGCGAGCGCGTGGCCTCAGTGCCCTCGGAGGGGCTGTGCGCACCGGGCCGGGTGCAGGATTCCTGAGTGCAGCTGGGCCGGGTGCGCCGCGCGGCCGCCGGCCCTTTGATGCTCTGTGGCGGGCAGGGGCTTCTGTGACGGGCGGCACACCATGTCCCAGCCTCCCTGCCGCCTCTTTCGCAATTTACCCAAGGGGGCAGCCATCCCGCCCCCAAGCGTTCCTGGAACTCAGACCCTGAACTCTAGGCGTCTTCCCCACCCCGCCCCCGCGTCATTGTCCTCAGGTTAGCCCTGTCCCGGAGACCGTGTACAACCCCCGCCTGGCGCTCAAGTGTCAGGCTTGGCTGGAGCCGAGAAGTTGTGTGCAGAGACAGCTAGTTGATGTGGCAACCCCTCCTTCACTCCCAGCCCCCACCCTCTTATGGCCGAGGAGTGGTCTGGTGGTCTGTGAACCACAATGCCTGACACCAACATCCATGGACTAGGCACAGGCTTCTGAAATCCCCTCTTCACACAGGGCACCTGTGGGCAAGCGTGGTCCTCGGGGGACCTCGTGGTCCTCAGGGGTCCCTGAGGTTAGGATAGCATGCTGTGTCCCGAGACAATTGGCAGAACCTTTGGCAAAGGTCCTACCCACTAGGAAAAGGCTGCCATGCACCATCTGAGTCCACAACAGGCAGTAAAACCAAGAGAGGCAGTGAAAGGGCCCCTGGGGGAATGGAAGGCCAGCCGCCCAGAACCATCAAATGAAGTGAGGACAGTCCTCAAGGTCAGAGAGGGGGCCAACCCCTGCCAGAGCAGCGCCCAGCAGGCCCAGGGAAGCTCAGGGCTGCCAGCACAGGACACGGCTGCACCAGCAGGTCAGAGAACCACGCCATGGTGACTAGGTCATGGTCATAGTGCTTCAGCTCCTGAGAGCATTAAGAAAGCTGTCTCGTGAGGCAGGAGACCCAGCACCAGTACCAGGACTAGCACCATCTGGCCTCAGGTTCCCCGTTCTTGAAGGAAGGCTGGGGCTCAGGCATCTTTATAGCTCTTTCAGCTCTGATCCTGAATCGGTTGCTGAGGGAAGTGGATGCCAGCAAGAGGGCTCCTTGGCTGCTCCTGCCTGCTGAGCTCTGGGCTCCCTGCTCTGCCTCAGCCCCACCCCAGACCCTCAGAAGGGCCCACACTCACTCTTCTTGCAGGAAGTGCATCTGCACTCTTTGCATTTACAGGAGCCGGCACAGGTGCAGGAGCCACCTGCCAGGAAGGAAATCCAGTCAGGGTGCAGTGAGGCTGACGTAGGAGACACAGCAGTGGGTCCACACATGCTTCCTGCTCAGGGCATGGGCCAGACGGGGGAGCTCCTGTCCCACTCAGGGCAGGTGGAAGTCTCACCCATCATCTCTCCCCACAGGCCAGGATGGCCAGATGCTCTCCTGTGTTGACCCCCCAGGGCCTCATGGCTGAGCCCAGCAGAGGCCATGTCCCCTGCCTCCAACCAGCACAGGCAACTCAGAGGCCTGCACAGAGCACTGGGGTGGGACCCTGAAGCCCCCTGAGCACCTGGGTGAGGTGGAGCAGGACAGCCTTGAGCCTCAGGCCCCTCCCCTCTGACATGGAAGCTGGGAAGACGGGAAATGCTCTAAAGGGCGATTCAGGCGCCAGGTCAGGGTGAAAGCACAAGACACACAAACTGAAGGAGTGCACTTCAGTTCAAACTCAAAACACTCCCTCCTCTAACCCCAGAGACACTGTCCCCTGGCTGAGAAAGGGGCATCCTGAGGTCCAGAGCTGGTGATGAAGATTCACTTGGGCTGGTGGACGGCGCGGTAGAGCCTAGGAGCCCGCCTGCTCCCTTTCCAGCCAGAGGCAGCAAAGGCCCCGCCCCGGTCCTTGCTCCCAGCCTGGTGGCGACAGCGGTGCCCCAGCGCCCTCGGCTGGGCTGTGTGCACCGGGCCGGGCGAAGGATGCCTCGGGCGCGGCTGAGCCGGGTGGGCAGGGTGTGGGCCGCCCTCTGGCGCCCATTCGTGCGGAGGGGCTTGTGTGCCTGACGTACTTGTTGTCCCAGCCTTCCCTCACCCCCTCTGCCCCATCTCAAGTTTTGGGAGGTGGCAGCGATTCCCGCCCCGAACATTCGTGGAACTCAGACCCTGAGTCCTCGCTGTCTTCCCCAGCCCCAGCCCCAGTGCGATTGTCCTCAGGTTCGCCCTTTCCCGGAGCCCGTGTGCAACCACAGCCCGGCACTCACGTCCTTCACTCGGCTGGAGCCAGACAGCAACATGAGGAAGTCGTGTGCAGAGGAACAGCCCACAATGTGACCTTTGCCTGCCACCCCTATTTCTTCTCCCTGTCCCCACGTTGCACCTAGAGCACCTTTTATTTTGTCTGCTGCAACAGGGTGGACACTGACCTCTACCTCTTTCTTTCCTTCCAGTGCCCAGCTGAAGGGATATATGGGCACATGTGTCCGAGTCCTTTCTATAAAACTATCGAGTGCTCCCCATAGCCTGCCAGTACTCCCCACTCCAGACGGTACCCACAGCGTGGGACCCCCCCCATGGAGGGCTCACAGTAGGTGACAGGGAGATGACTCTGATAACACAGCAAGAAAAGGGATTGTTTCCCTTCCACCATCCCTAAGAGCGCCAGGGCGTTTAGCGTGTGCCAGGCCATGTTTCCATCACTCGTGATTTGCACACTCACAACAACTGGAAAGGAAAACCCTTTTATGCATGAGCCGTTTTTACACTAGGACAACAACACAGCACAGGGAGCCTAAGTGACCGGCCCGAGGTCACACAGCTGGGGACTGATCCACTGAGCTTCCCAAGGGGAAGGGAAGGTCCATGACAAGCAGGCTTTGGTCTGGGTCCGTCTACACCACTCTCTCCTGCTGGACATTTAACAAGAGCCAGCTGCCCGCCCCACCGTGGGCAGCAAGAAAGGGACCCCTCAGTGAAACGTGTATGATTCTCCGGTGATCTTCTATGTCTGGAATAAGACGGACTCTCACTTTCAGTAGAGAGAAAGACTTTTCATACAAGTACGTGAAAGAAAATAGGAACCATTTCAAAGGACAATGTTAAATAAAACATGGTTAGGTTGTAGGAGAAATGGAGGTTTCATTCCGTGTCTGAGAAGGCACAGAGAGTTTCCTCACGGCTCTGTGCCCCTTGTGCCCATCACAGTGCTGTGGGAAGAGTGAAGGAGTCTCTCTGATCCCCAGGTCACATCCTCATGAGATTGATGAGGACAACACAGGACACACAGGAGGCCCCAAGCCCTGGCTGATTTGTCTGGAGATAAATAAATACCACTATGCTGTGCACAATAATAATGCAGTAATACCTGATGTCACAGACCACTCACCCGTGCCAGGCCCCTTCCTAAGTCCTTGACTTGTCTTGATTCATTTCATCCTCTAAGAAATATGCTTTCCCCTATTTTGCCCATTTTATCGGGGAGGAGACTGGGCCACAGAGAGGTTGCATCTCAGGGCTTTAAGTGACACAAGTGGGGTTGGCCCTCATGCAGGCAGACTGCAGCATCATGCCCTCCCACCCTCCCCACAACTCCACAGAAAAGACAAGCACACTGAGCACCTGGCCCAGAGGCAGGAGTGGGAAGAGCACTGAGCCGGCAGTGGGATCCCCGTACAGAGCTCTGTGACCCCTCTGGGCTTCAGGTTCCCATCTCTGAACCAAGGGCAAAGGGAGTCCATCTCCAAGGGTCCTTCCAGCTTTGGACTGTGATGGGCACGATGTAGCATCCAGTGACATTGTGATCTGTCAGCTGTGGCCAGGCACCCCTGTAGCACAGCATAGATTCCTTCATCCCTTTATTTTCCAGCTTGGTGAGTTTTGGCAGCTTGCTTGTCCTCTCTGGAAGATGGCAGAGTCACTCCAGCCTCTTCCTCTTTGCTGTCTCAGTCACCTGCTTGTGTGAAAACCTTAAGACTGGAAGAGTGGAAAGGCTTTTGTGTCTGTTCAAATGCTGTGACACTGCCTTGTCTCAGGGGGCTTATTCTAGGTCATCCACACACCCCCTGCCACAAAGTCATTAAATTTCCAATCCATCCTTAACCTCCACCCAGAGTCATGCTTCCAACCAATGAGCCTTTCCCCAAGACGCTGTTGGGATTCAACAGGATTCCGTCTCCAGGAAAGTCCCCGTGATCAGAAGGATATCTAACGGACCCCATGTCTGAAGCCCTAGCAAGGAGCCAGGATGCTGTCTCCTTTAATTCCTCACTGTGACATGTAATCTCCTCTTTAAATGTAAGGAAACTCAGGCTGAGAGAGGTCAAGCGACTTACCCAGGTGGCATGGCCAGGGAGTGGCCTGGTAGTCTGTGAACCAGGACTGCCTGACACCAACACCCATGTACTAGGCACAGGCTGGCTTCTACAATCCCGTCTTCACACAGGGCACCTGTGGGCAAGCGTGGTCCTGCCTCCTGGGCCATGGGACTCGTCTTTCTCTTTGGTTGAACATCGAACAGCAATTCCCTGCACAGAGAGCCAGGGGGCTAACGCTTGGTATGAGTTGCAAATCACTCAACCCCTCACTCCTGCCTAATAAAGACCACCATGCCCTCCAAACTATGGAATCCACCCCCTCTGCAGGGTGGACAGCAAGTACTTCACCTGGAACCAGTTCTCAGGTACATTCTTGCTGAGAAATGGCTAGGCACTTCCCTCCAAATCCCTGGTCACTTTGCGGGTTTCAAGGAGCCAAGGCTGGATTTGGAAGGAGGGGCCGATCTCAGCCCGACCAAGGGAGGAACCACCAAAGATTCAGAGCCACCACAGGAGCTCTCAGGGGTGTCCTGTACGTGGCCCTGGGCTAGAAAGTGTGAGGGTTCCCTGTGGGGATGTCAGGGCGGTGCCACTCAAGGCCTGGGTGATCCACACATGGGGGCCTCTGTGAATTGCTTCCAGTGCTCAAATCACACCTTTGATGAACATTAGTACAGCTTTTAAAAATCTCTAATTTTCCTTTTTGTTCTTCATGTATTTATTGAAAATCTGTGTGTCGAATCTAAAAATGGGGTTTGTAGATAGTGTCCTTTTAATGTTTTCCTTAGTAATTCATTTTTTTTTGACCAATCGTTAAATCTGTGTTACAAAAAAAAAGCAGGTCCAATAACACAGTGGTTTAGAAGCAAGCCCCGTGTACAAGCCACAGAATTGGGGAGTTGAACTTTGGAGGCCTAACATCACCCCGGACTGAGGATTGGCGGGGGATCCCCAGAGAACGAAAATGAGACACTGCGAGGTTTCTATGGTCCACATCTACACTGAGAGTAGAGGGGAACTTTGTCCTGTGCCCTTCTGTCATCTGGATGATGCTTCTGTTTTTTGCCGACAAACTGAAGCTCAGAGAGGGATCCTGACTTGATTCAGGCACTTGGTTTGTGAGGGGTTAGTCTTTGGGTCCAGAACACATGTCACTGTACTTCCAGTCCAATTTGCCACCACAGCTGTGATGGGCATGAAGTCCCTTATTTCCAAGACACACAAAGGAAAACAGAGCCAGAATAGAGTCAACAACGTTTATTGGAATTCACAGATCTCATAGAAACAGGCAAGTTGTGGTAAAAGGTCAGGGTTGTATCAAGAAATGTTTAAAGCAGTAGGGTTGTATGTGTTAGTAGCTGTGTGTGTGTGTGTGTGTGTGTGTTGCTGTTTCCATCGGGAGCAGGCTCTCCCTGACATCAGGCGCAGCAGCTGCACTTGTCCGATGCCCCTTTGCAGACGCAGCCCTGGGCACACCTGGCACAGCCCCCGGGGCAGCAGGAGCAGCAGCCTGGGGAACAGAGGGCAGAGGGAGAAGTCAGGGCAGATGTTACCAGAACCTCCCTCCCAACAGCAGCCCTGACACCATTTCTGCCCTGGGCCTCGGGGGACCCTGAGGTTAGGATGGCATGCTCTGTCCTGAGACAATGGGTAGAACCTTTGGGTAAGGTCCTACCCACTAGGAAAAGGGTGCCCTGCACCATCTGAGTCCTGAATAGGCCAGAATGCCTGGAGAGACACTGACAGCATCCGGGGGGTGGAGGGTGGGGGGCAGTCAGGCCAGCTCCCCACCTCCGAGAATCCTAAAATGAAGTGAGGAAAGTCTTCAAGATCAGAGAGGGGCAAACCCCTGCCAGAGCAGCGCCCAAGAGGGCCAGAGAAACCTAGGCTGCCTGGACAGGACAGGGCTGCACCACCAGGTCAGAGAAACCACACGTGGTCCCCAAGTTCAGAGGCATAAAGTGCTCAGAAAACTGGAGGGTTCTGAAGGCTGCATCAGGAGACAGGAGACCTAGGCTCTTGTCTGGCTCCATCCTTGACACTATTTGGTGACCTCTCAGGACTCAGTTTCCCCATTCTAGAATGAGAGGTTGGGGCTCAAGCATCTGTAGGGCTATGGCAACTCCGATTCTGACTCAGAACCATGCTAAGAGCAGGGGTGTAGAGAAGCGGGCTCCTTGGCTAAGCCTGCCTGCTGAGCTCTGGGTTCTGTCTCTGCCTCAGCCCCACCCCCAGACCCCCAGAAGGGCCCACACTCACTCTTCTTGCAGGAGGTGCATCTGCACTCTTTGCACTTGCAGGAGCCGGCACAGGTGCAGGAGCCACCTGCCAGGAAGGAAAGCCAGGCAGGGAGTCAGGAGACTGATGCAGACACAGCAGTCGGTCCCCAAACCCTCCGTGCGCCCTCCTCTGTCAGGCCCAGACCTGGGAGCTCCTGTCCCACTGCGGGCACATAGAGAGAAGCCCCCCCTTCTCTCTTCTGCTGCTGGGAAAGGTAGGTCCTCTCCTGACATTGCTCCACAAGGAGGGTCCCAGGCTCCAGAGCCACCCCGAGAGACTGGGGCCAGGGCCTTAGATCCTGCACCCCGAAGAGGCAGCTCCCACCCAGTCCTGGCAGCTCTGAGGCCTGGACACAGCACTGGGTCCCAGCGCAGCAGCTCCCTGACCTCGAGATGCACAGCCTGGAGCCTCAGTACCCTCAACTCTGAGACAGAGGCCCAGGAGCCTGGAAATGCTCTCAGGAGCTTGGCCATGTGAAAGCACAAGACGTGCTAACCGAAGGAGGCCACCTCAGCTCAGACTCAGAACACTTCCTCTCCTAACCCAAGGACGCTGTCTTCTGTCCCTGGAAAGGGGCATCCTAAGGCCCAGAGCCCAGTGTCTCTTACCAGTGGGGCACGAGCAGTTGGGATCCATTCCGAGCCTTGTTGAGTCCTGAGATCCAAAAGCAGGTCCCAAAGATGCACTTGGACTGTTGGAAGGCGTGGTGGCGCCTAGGCGCCCGCCTGCTGACTTTATAGGCAGATCAGGAGGCCCGGGCGCAAAGGCCCCGCCCCGTCCTTGCACCCCGCCCCCGGGCGACCGCGCGGCCGCAGCTCCCTCGGCGGGGCTGTGCGCACCGGTCCGGGCGCAGGGTTTCCGAGCGGGGCTGAGCTCCGTGCGCAGCGCTGGGTCGATCCTGTGGCGCCGTCCCGCGGTGGGGCTTGTGTGCCAGAGGCCATGCGGTGTCCCAGCCTCCCTGCCCGCCTCGTCCCAATTTTCCCGGGGTGGGCATCCGTCCCGACTCCGAGTGTTCCTGGGCCTCAGCCCCTGAGTCCTCGCCGTCTTCCCCACCCCCAGCCCCTGCACCCTTGGCCTCAGGTTCGCCCTTTCCTGGAGCCCCTGAGCACCCGCAGCCTCGCGGTCGCGGCCCTGGCTTGGCTGCAGCCACGCCGGAGTTGGGTGCACAGACACAACTGAGATGTTCCCTAAGCACGGGATGCCCCCAGGGAAGGCATCGTTTTAGGTGGCAGGCTGACCAGGCATTCAAAGACAAAGCCAGAGGAGTGGGTGTTTCCCTTTGTGCCTTCCTGACAGTCCCCTCACATTGAGTCTGCCAGCCCTTTTTCACCACTTTCCCCATCCGAACCCTAAGAACAGCCCTAAAGGAAAATACTAGTTAGGAGCCCGTTTCCCAAAAGCAAAACGGCACAGAGCACAGAGCACAGACCCAGGGCCACAGTGCTGGGAAGTGGCGCCCAGGATCTGACTCCCGTCAGGTCCCCAGGGGAAGAAAGAGTCCGTGAGGAGGCTTCTCTCTGGCCCAGAGGAGCGTCTGCAGCACTTCCCGACCTTCAAGCTCAATCCTGGGGGGGACAAAAGTGATGCGAAAGAAAGGTAGATGTGATTTTACGGCTCCCTTCCGTGCCTGGAAGTCACCTGATTCTCACTTTCAGTAGTGGTAAAGAGTCTGCTTGTCATAAATATATCTGAGAATACACAAATCATTAAAAAGAAAATGTTAAGCAAAATCCTGGTGCAAGTGACAGCAGAGATGGCAGGCATCCTTCTGTATCTGTTTGGAGGACATGGACTGTCTGGCTCACGGCTGTCTGTCCCTAGTGCCCTTCTCTGTTGTGGGGAGAGAAGATGCCCCTCTCTGGGCAACTGCTCACCTGCTCCCGTGGTTGATGAGGACAATGCAGGACACGGCAACACAGAAACCAAGCCTGGTTTATTTGTCTGGAAGTAGTAAAATGTCTCCTCTGCTCTGAATGATAATAATAAAATAATAGCCAACATCATAGATGACTCCCTGTGTCCCGGGCATCATGCTAAGTTCTTTGCACGTATTCAAGCATTTCATCCTAGGAGCAGGCGCTGTGATGTTGCCCTTCTTCTTTTTTTTTTTTTAAAGGTTTTATTTTTTCCTTTTTCTCCCCAAAGCCCCCCGGTACATAGTTGTATATTTCTCGTTGTGGGTTCTTCTAGTTGTGGTATGTGGGACGCTGCCTCAGCGTGGTCTGATGAGCAGTGCCATGTCCGCACCCAGGATTCGAACCAACGAAACACTGGGATGCCTGCAACGGAGCGCGCGAACTTAACCACTCGGCCACGGGGCCAGCCCCCGATGTTGCCCTTCTTATAGTGAGGGAGACTGAACCTCAGAGAGGTGACTTCATGGGGCTCTAAGTGACACAGGTGGGGTTGGCCCTCACACAGGCAGACTGCTGCATCATGCCCCCCAAGCCCCCCATGACTCCACAGGAAAGATGAGCACGCTGAGCACCTGGCCCAGAGGCAGCAGTGGGAAGAGCACTGAGCCGGCAGTGGGATCCCCGTGCAGAGCTCTGTGACCTCTCCAGGCTTCAGGTTCCCATCTCTAAAGCCAGGAGCACAATTGGACCGTCTCTAAGAAGGCTTCCAGCTCTGACCAAGGAAAGGCAGGATGTAAATCCAGTCACAGCATGGTCAGCCACCTGTGGCCAGCCGTAGTATGGGTTCACAACTCTGACTGTGAGCTGTGTGGCCTTGGACAGGTTGCTGAACCTCTCTGGAAGTTGGCACAATCACTCCATCCCCTGGACATTCACTCTCTCCGTGGTCCCTGTGCAGGTCAAATGATGAAGCGTGGGAAAGGCTTCTGTGTCTGTCCAAATGCTGTGGCAGCCTCTTGTCCCGGGGAGTTATTTCAGGTCATCCACACTCCCCTGGCACTGGAACCCCAAGGTTCCAATCCCTCTTTGGCCTCCAACCCATTGTCTTGGTTCCAAACCAATGAGCCTACCTCCAGGGGCTTGTTGGGAGCTGTGAGGATTCCCTCTCCACACTGTCAGGGTGGGGGTGGTAACCATGATGGACGCTGTGTATGAAGCCCGAGCTAGGAGCCAGGCCACTCTCTCCTTTAATCCCCCACAGTGAGATGTCATCTCCTTTATACAAAGGAGGACGTGGAGGCTCAGAGACCATCCACAACTTGCTCAGGTGGCATGGCCAGGGATGGCCTAGTGGGCTGTGAACCAGGACTGCCTGACACCAACACCCATGGGCTTGGCACAGGCTGGCTTCTGAAATCCCCTCTTCACACAGGGTACCTGTGGGCAAGCGTGGTCCTGCCTCCTGGGCCACGGGACTCGTCTTTCTCTTTGATTGAACATCAAACAATAATTCACTCCACAAATAGCCAGGAGCACTAACTGTTGGCGTGAATGACAAGTCATAAATGACTCACTGCTGCCTAATAAAGGCCACCACGCTCTCCAAACTGTAGAAACTCCACCCTGCACAGGCAGACGTGAAGGACTTCATATGGAACCAGTTCTCAGGCCCGCTCCCTCTTGCTGAGAAATGCCTGGGCACTTCCCTCCGCATCCCCAGTCACTTTGTGGGTTTCTAGGAGCCGAGGCTGGATTTGGAAGGAGGGGTTGATCTCAGCCCGACCCAGGGAGGAACTTCCAAAGATTCAGTCACCACAGGAGCTCTCAGGGGAGCAGGTGTCGCGTCAGTGGCCCTGGGAAAGGCAGAGGGAGCGTTCCTTATGGGGACATGGGGGCCCATGCCACTCAAAGTGTGTGAGATCTACACAGGGCGGCGTCTGTCAACTGTTTCCAGTGCTCCGTGCACACCTTCAATAAACAATGGTATAGTTCTAAATTCTTTATTTTTCCTGCTATTTTCTTCCTTGCATATTTATTCAAATTTATATATTGAATCAAAAAATGGTATAGTGTACTTTTAAATTTTTCGTAGTAATTAACTTTATTTTACCTAAGTTTATTTAGTCTTTGGAAATAAAAACCACCGATAGAAAATTAATGGCAGCCTTTCACCACAGAAAGTTGGAGAACCTCAGGTAGAGGTTCTACTGTCTCGGATTCCACCCTCTTTAGATTCTCTCAGATCTGAAATCCATGAGGAACTGAAGCTGGTATGGAAAATGAGGGAGCGAGAAGTTTGTATGCCATCGACTCCTGACATGAGAAGCGAGGCGACCGTGTATCTACCCAACGCCCTTCTAGCATCCTGCCTAATGCTCTTCCATTTTACAGAAAACGAAGTTCAGGGAGGTACCTGCTTGCTTTAGGGCACTCAGTTGGAGACCTCACATTTCAGTCCACAAGCCAAGTCCCCTCACTAGAAGTCCAGTCTCCTACCCCAGCCCTGGTGGGCATAAAATCCCTTATTCCCGATGCACAGAAAGGAAACCAGAGTCCGAATAAGGTCAATAACTTTTATTGTCATTCACATATTTCATAGAAAAGGGGATGCAGCAATTGGGTCAGCGCTGTGTGAAAAAAAATGCAGGTTTGTACATGTCGCTCTATTTACATGGGGAGCAGGCTCTCCTCAACATCAGGCGCAGCAGCTGCACTTGTCCGATGCCCCTTTGCAGACGCAGCCCTGGGCACACTTGGCACAGCCCACGGGGCAGCAGGAGCAGCAGCCTGGGGAAGAGAGGGTGCCAGAGATGAGCGCTTGGGACAAAAGATCAGTAAGGATTCCCGCCCGCCCAACAGGGGCCATGTGGAGGTGCCGCCTTCCTGGAGAAAGGGGCAACTCCCCGCTTTACACTCTCCGGACGCTGTAGAGGGCTGGGCAGCGGAAGGCGGGGCTGAGGGGTGGATGAAAAGAGGATTCCACTCACTCTTCTTGCAGGAGGCGCATCTGCACTGTTTGCATTTGCAGGAGCCGGCGCAGGTGCAGGATTCACCTGCAAGGAGAAAAGTCGGATCTGAGAAGGGTCCCTTAGACTCGAACGCGGGAAGAGGTGCTAGCAGCCCCGGTTCGAGTCCCAGTTCCAGAAGCCACTCGTGGCAACCTGGGCAAGCCATAAACCCTCCTCTCCTTATCGGTTAAACGGGGCCTCCGATTAACCTAGAGCAGAGGAAGGCACACCAAAACGCTCTGAAAGGGGGCCAACCCTACCCTGATTAGGAAGAGCGGGAAGGGTCAGAAACCGCTTCTCCAGCTCTGCACCCGACTCCCAGTCGCGGCTTAGACATCCTTACCGGCGACGCAGGAGCAGTCGGGGTCCATGGTGCACTGAGGCGGTGGCTGGAGTCCGGAGACAGAGGCACGAGCAACGCTGACCTGGCGGAGGGGTGATGGAGCCGAGAGCGCGGCGGGCGGCCTTTATAGTGGCCGAGCCGGGACGGGTGCAAAAGCCCGCCCCGCCGGGCCGCCTGCACACGCCCCTCGCTGAGTCACCCGCGGCCCGCGGCGCGCCGGGCCGGGCGCACCGGGCTGTGCACACGGGCCGCGGGTTCGCAGACGCCGCCCCACGTGCGCCCGGGGGCCGCCTCGGTGGGGGAAGGGCCGGGCGCAGAGCGCGGACGCCGCGGGCCGGGCTGCCAGGGTGGGTGCCCGGCCCGCCCCCCGCTGCCCTGTACTTGACCCTGAGTGCTTAGAGAGCGGGTGTAAGCGGGTCCTGGGGATCCTGCTCGGATGAAAAATCGATTGGAAGTGAGGACAGATGATAAAAAACTCTTTAGACCTGTCAAGGCTTAAAAATTGTGTAGCATGAGGTTAAGCCCGCTGGGATGGCTGTTGATGACGTATCTATCTATTGTATATCGACTGCCTTAGTGTCCGATTGTATATGGACTGTAGTAAGCGTGCTATGTCCCAGATCTCATGTAATGCTGTAACAACCCTGTGAGGTAAGGACTATCCCCTAGTCCCATTTTAAAGAGGAGGAAATGAAGGCCCAGAGAGGTTAAGTAACTTGCCCAAGGTCGCAGAGCTAATGAGGAGCAGAACCTGGTGATCCAAAGCACAGGGTCCAGCAGATGCTGAAGGACGATTAAGGATCAAGGAGCCCCAAGACTTGTGCCCAGGAGACTCATAGCCATGGAGGCACAGGGAAAAGTGATGGCAGGGTCATAGCTAGGATGGAGGGTGCACTCGGGGGCAGGGAGAGCCGAGGAGAGGAGACTCAGACCAGCCTGGGAGAAGGTGGGCGGTGGCCTTGGGCCTGAGAGTGAGGACGTCTTTGCCGGGCGGGGGCGGGGGCGGGGGGAGTTGTATTCCAGCCTGCAGAGGAAGCAGCGGCTGGAAAACTGGCATCGCCCTGGAACATGTGGAAGGGAACCCCCCCAGAACTTTCTCGCCCAGTGGATGCTGGGGGGAAGAGCGGAGGGCGTGCCCAAATTCCTCTCTGGGGAGGCTCATCCTGCTTCCGGCCCGCGGGCGTGTGGCCGCTGTGTAACGGGACCTGGATCGCCGTCGTCGGAACATCCCGAGTGTGTCATCAGCGTAGCTAGGGGAAGGATTACTGGAAGCTTCCTGGGGGAGGTGGCGAGGGGCGTGCTGGTTGCTGCCGCGGGGAGTTGAGTGAGGAGGCGGGCGGAGGACTGGCTGTTCCCGCAGCGTTTATGTAAGGTCCTGTGGAAAGGTCCTCGGAGCTCAGCTCCAACATCACTTCCTCCGGGGAGCCCTTCCTGACCCCCCTGCCGGGTCAGGATGCTCTTGGAACGAGCTGGTACACATCCTGTCCTTTTCCTTCCTGGCACTGTCCATGTTTTTAATATGTAAGAACGTGTTCGATTCTTGGATTGAGCTGTGTCCCTCGCCAGCCCAGCCGGCCACTGAAAACCCCAGGAGCAGTCATTGCCCCAGAAAGTGTCTCCAGCCCCTGGCGCAGGGCCAAGTGTGCGGTAGGTGCGAAGGAGGTAATGACGGTAATCCCCTCGTTGTCTCCTCCCTCCCAGCCCCCACCTTCAGTTAGGGCCCATTACAAAATGAAAGTAAAAACACTTTATTTCGGGGGCTGGCCCCGTGGCCGAGTGGTTAAGTCTGTGCACTCCGCTGCAGGCGGCCCAGTGTTTCGTTGGTTCGAATCCTGGGCACGGACATGGCACTGCTCATCAAACCACGCTGAGGCAGCGTCCCACATGCTACAACTAGAAGGACCCACAACGAAGAATATACAACTATGTATTGGGGGGCTTTGGGGAGAAAAAGGAAAAAAACAAAAACACTTTATTTCGCCACTTTGGGACCTGTGTGCTCACTCAAATGAAAACGCCAAGCAGGGCGGGGGAGTTGAGCTATGGGAGGGGCTCAATTCTAATGGTCACTCTGCTACTCACTTGCTGAGTGACCTTGGGTCACTTCTGTGCCAGGCTCCCTCTGAGCCTCCGTCTATTCTGTCAATGATCAGATTATAGTCTGTCAATGATCAGTCTGCCGGACGATCAGATTATACTAGAATTCCAGGGTTGCACACAGACATTCTCGGAGATCTCCCTGTGTCTGGCGGCCTTGTGGCCCGAGGGCGCTGAAGATCCCCTCTTTGGGCCAGTTTTGTTTTTGTTATTATTTACATATACACACACATTATATGCAAAACTCCTGGTTTCTAATAAATCAGATGGTTGCTTGTCCACTCTGGGGAAGCAATTCAACTCTGTGAAGAGAGAACAGGGCTTGTTTTTGCCCAGAAAGTTTTAAATCTAGCCCTGGGTTTGGGCCATGTGTGTTGGCAGTAAAATTTGCTTCTGGGCCTCAGCTGTCTCCCTTGAGTCATTTTGACTCTGAGAGGGGAGGGGTGACCAATTAGCAAAGGTGAAGGGGGGGAAAGGGGAGGGGGAGGGGCTGGCTCTAGTCTTGCTCGTGGACGTGCCACTGGGAAGCCTCACTGTCCTTAGGACAGACGTGGAGAGAGAGGACTTTCTCATTCTGCATCCCAGACATGGCAGGGGATGAGGGAGATGAAGCCAAGCAGAATTAGATGAGGAAAAACACCCCCCTGCAAATCTGAGGTGAGTCATCAGTGTGAGGCAGTGAAGTGCCCCAGACTGAATTAATAGAAGTATGCCATCTAGAATGAGGGAGGTGATTTTTCACTCTCCTTTTAACTACTGAGATGGATATTTATAGTTCTGCACCCAGCCATCCATTCATCCTTCCTCTGTGACAGTACCCTTAGTTTTCCTGTGTAGAATCGCTCCTACCCACTGTTTGCCCTTGTGGTTTGTTTGGACTAGGCCCCATCCATGGGCTCCCAGGCCATCCCACTACCCTGGCCACAGTGATTGGCTCTGATTGGACCACCAGCCACAAACCAAAGAGAATCAGTGAAACTTTTGCTGGGAATGCTGGGAAAATGGCAATTACTCTTTCCATCCAGATGTGAAACCAAGAGTATGTGAGGCTGAGTTTCTAAAGCCTTTTGTCTCCATGAGAAGAGCCTGAAAATAAAATTATCACAAAGGAAATGGAGCCTGACAACATCATTGAAACACCTGGATCCAGCTATGCCTGAAGGCATTATGAGTCAGTCATTTCCTTTTTTGTTAAATCATCCTGGATAGAGTCTTAACTGGCACAGTTGGGCAGACCATCCTGAGAGCTGTGTTCATCATTGGGCTTCAACTGTCCAGAAAATGGTTGATCACAATGGTCTTAAGACTCAAAACCCCGTCATGTGAGCAACAGCTGAGGGGGTGGGCAGGCTCGATCTGGAAGAAACAGTTACCTTCAAATATCTGGACAGTGGATGTTCTATAGCTATGCCACAAGTTGCCCAAAACTTAGCAGCTTAAAACAATGACCGTTTATTGTCTCTCCTGGTTTTGTGGGTCAGGAATTCGATCAGGGCTCATTCGGGTGATTCTTTTGTTTCATGTGTCACTGACTGAGGTCACTTGGTGGCACTCAGTTGGATGGGCTGGTCCGGAGGTTGTAAGACAGCTTCACTCACACGGATGGCTGGAGGGCTGAGCTCAGCTGGAACTATTGACTAGAGCCCCCGCATGTGGCCTCTTCAGCATGGTGGCCTCAGGACAATTAGGCTCCTGACATTCAGCTCCGGGCTCCAAAGGGAGAGTGCCAAGAGACAGGTGTGGTGGCTGCAAGTCTCTTACACCCTGGGCCCTGAAACTAGCACGAGTCACTTTCACCCCGTTCTGTTGGTCAAGAGTCACAGAGCCTGCCCAGATTCAAGAGGAGAGGACGAAGACCTCACATCTTGATGAGAGGAGTCAACGAATTTGCAGGCGTCTCTCCTCTGCCACAGTAGTCATGGTGAATAATACTGAGCACCTTCTCTGCACCAGGTCTCGTGCTAAGGGTACACTGAGTTGATTTCACTTCGACCTCAGCACAGCCCCAAAGGCAGATGCTGTTATTATCTCCATCTTCCAGATGAGGCACTGAAGGGTTCCCTGGCCTGCTCAGGGTCACACAGCTGTAAGTGGCAGCGCTGGGATTTGAACCCAGGACATTCTGCTTCCACTCCTACATGTTTACGCCCTGCTGAAAAGAAGAAATTAGGCTTGTACTCTGTGGTCCCCGGGGCAGAATCGGGCTGTGGATGGGAGCTTCAGGGATAAAGATTCTGCTCCGGATGGGAAAGGCCTTTCTTGCAATGAGAACTGGTCCCTGGAAGGGATCACCTTGGGAGACAGTTTCTTGTCCCCACAGCAGTGGAAACAGGCTGTGGGTCCCAGCATTAGATGGGGGACAGAAAGAGATTAGGTCGCTGCTCCCTGGGAGATCCTGTGATTCTGTGCTTCTCATCACAAGTACGTCTGTCTGATCTTACTGCTTCCTCCTCCTTCTACTGACTCTGCCTTCATTTGGGGGGTCTATTAGTTATTTATTGCTGGGTAACAAATTACCCCAAAACTCAGCAGCTTAGGACAACACGCGTGTATTATCTCATAGCTTCTGTGGGTCAGGAATCGGGTCAGAGCTTAGCTGGGGCCTCGGGCTCGGGGGTCTCTCACAGACAGCAAGCGAGGTGCCAGCCAGGGCTACAGTCATCTCAAGCGTGAGCTGGGACAGGCTCTGCCTTCAAGCTCCCTCTTGTGGTTGTTGGCAGGTTTGGGTCCCTATGAGCTATTGTGCTGAGGCTTCTGTTGCTCATAAGCCGTTGGCCAGAGGCCTCACTTAGCCCCTTGCCGTGTGGGCCTCTCCACAGAGCATCTCACAACACGGTAGTGATGGAGCAAGAGGGCAAGAGAGAGTGTCAACAAAAGCATGTGCGTGAGACGGAATTGACAGTTTGTAACCTAATCACGGAAGTCACATCCCACCGCTTTTGCAGTAGTCATGAGCCGCATGACAACGTTTCGGTCAATGGTGGACCATATGTATGACAGTGGTCCCATAAGATTAGTACCATACGGCCTAGGTGTGTAGTGGGCTATACCATAAGTGCTCTATGATATTCACACAATGACAAAATCACCTAATAACGCATTTCTCAGAACATATCCCGTCATTAAGTGACGCATGACTGTATTCTATTCATCAGCAGCGAGTCACTAGGTCCAGGCCACGCTCAAGGGGAAGGGATT